GAAGAATTTTTCTTTTACTTTTCAAAGACAAGAGAGAACTGGCCGGGGGTGGGAGGAGGTGGGGAGGTTGAGCAGGAAGAAAAGTACAACAGTGAATGAATGGAAATCCAAAGTCTCTGTAAACTTTCATTAAAATTAATTTTTAAAAAGATAACACATGTTTCAGATCTAATGTTCTAATAATGTCTAATAGATCTAATAGTGTCCCCATAAGTTATACTTGACTCACTAAGACATAACAATAACAGCATTGAGAAGTAAAATAATATTATAAATCCCTTTTGAAGGATGGGGGAAGTAAAGCTCACAATGTTTAAGCAGGCTATCTAAGACCATTCAGATGATAAATTCTAAGAGTTGAAGTTAAAAATAAAAGTCAAGTCTCCATTTAGAAACATTTGTTGAATGTCAACCATGCATGTTTTTAAAAATATCAAGTGATTTATTAAAGCTTACAATTTCATCAACTTCTCATATTTGGTAGGAGACCAACTCCAAAAGTTGTGCAGGAGCATAGGGATAAACATCCCCTATTATTCCCCAATAGATCCCATTAACTTGACAGCTTCTAGCTCACAATTGTACAGGTCAAGACAGTACTAAAAAAAATTGTAACACTAAGAAGCAGTCATCTCTGGGAATCATCAGAGTTTTTTCAAAATTTTCTGATTTCCTTATTTTGAATATGTGGTACAATTTCACTTACAGGCCCCTACCATGTGACTGAACTTGCCAAGGATTTATGAGTAGAATAGGCAAGAGTCCTTTCTGGGCTAGAGCCCTTAATAGCCAAGACAAGATTCTCTAAAACTCCTACTTTTTCTCTAGAATGTTAGCTCAAATAACCAAGATTGTTGTTATGTGCTGTTGAGTCATTTGAAACTCATAGAACAGCTCTGAGCCCAGCTCTATCCTGAGCCAACCTTACTGTCACTGACACACTTATCCCTATCATTGAGTCAATCCACCTCATCCAGGGTCTTCCTATCTTGTGCTGTTCTTCAACCTTCCCAAGTACGATATTCCTCTCCAAGGATTGGTCCATCCTTGCAACATGCCAAAAGTATATCAGAGCTTCAGAACCCTTGCCTCCAACAAGCAGCCTGCTTTCACCTTCTCCAAGATGAACCTGTTTGTTCTCCTAGCAGTCCATGGTGTGTTCAGTACTTTTCTCCAGCACCACAACTCAGAGGCATCAATTCTCCTTCTATCATCTCTAATCATTGTCCAACTTTCTGATGCTCAGCAAGTAATAACAAAGATCATGTCCTGGATCAGTCTCCAGACTGACATTGTGTCATCATATATCCAAGGTAGTAGGTTATAAATTCTGAATCACTATAATAAGTTTATCTAATCTGCCAACTAACAATGAAAGGATATCTTGAGTGAGCAATAAGATTATTTTGTCTTAAGTCACTGAACTGTTTGGGCTTGCTTATTACTGCAGCAAATTTAGCCTATTCAAATGAGCACTGTTGCAAAGAGAATCTATCTATAGTTGAGATTTGGAGAATAGATAGCTTAGGAACAAATAATGTAGAAATATCTGATGGATGAAACTTTAATTCAACAACGCAAAGTAACTGTTCTTCAGTGGCATGGCTGTTACATCACTCAACAAGGCTGGAAAATTCCTGCCACTAATTCCTAACTACCAATTCAATAAATTTTATCTCATATCTGACTAATATAAAGACCGTAGACCTAAAATATTCTTACCTGGGAATTTTTTGTGTCTATAGAGTGTGTGCATATAATATATTGTATGCCTTCACTACAGTCTTCAAATATACAATTCAGTGGAATTAGCTATGTCACATTATGTCATTAATTATAAAAATCTGTTTGTGCAGCAATATGTTTTAAAATTTAACTTTTAGCCTAGTGTTAAATTTAACTTCCAGCTCAAAGATAGGCTATTTTAATTCAGCAGCTATGGGAGAAAGATAGGCAATCTCCTCTCACACGATTTGTGGCCAGCCTCTGAAGACCTGCTAAATGATCTGCTATGAGTCAGTTCTAACTTGACAGCACATAGCAAAACAATAACATACTTTTATAATTTCCAATATTTGTAGTTGTTAGATGCCCTCAAGCTGACTCTAACAGCCATGCCACTGAAGAACAGTTACTTTGTGCTGCTGAATTCAAGCTTCATCCATCAGATATTTCTACATTATTTGTTCCTACGACATCTATTCTCCAAATCTCACTATAGATTCTCTTTGCAACAGTGCTCATCTGTATAGGCAAAATTTGCTGTAATAATAATAATAATAATAAGTCCGTTTACTTTTCACCAACACCACAATTCAGAGACTTCTTCAGTTTTCCTTATTCATCTTCCACCTTTCAGATGCATAGGAAGCAATTGAAAGTAACATGGCTTGGATCAGGTGCACCTTAGTCTTGAAAGTGATACCTTTGCTCTTGGGAACTTTGAAGAGGTCCTTGATGGTAAATTTTTCTCAGTGCAACAAGTCTTTTGATTTTTTTTACTGATGCTGTCATGAGTGCTGATTGTGGATGCAAGTAAAATGGAATCCTTGATAATGCCAATCTTCTTCCATCTGTCATGATATAGCCTATTGATCTAGTGGTCAAGACTTTTTTTATATTGAGATGTAATCCATATTGAAGATTGTACTCTTCTTCAGTAAGTATGTGAAGTCTTCCCTTTCTAAAAGCAAGGTTGTGTCATCTGC